GGTTTCCTGCATCAAGGCGGCACTAACTGCCTCTTCCGTCGTTGCCAGGAAAAGTTGTAACTCATGTCCTGGCTCCGGTCTTCCTATGACAGGTGGTTCAGTAAGAATTTCCTTCACCTCTTTGAAGGCCTTTTCACACTGATCGCTCCAACTTCCCTGGGAATTTTTCTTCATCAGCCTCAGTATAGGGCGTATACGCTCGACTAGCTTGGGAATAAATCTGGATAAGGAGGTTAGGCGCCCTACGAGTCTTTGCACTTCTTTGATGTTTTGCGGGCTCCTCATCTCCAGCACCGCCTTACACTTGTCAGGATTAGCCTCAATTCCCCGTGCAGTCAACATGAATCCCAGAAACTTTCCTGCTGGTACACCAAACGTGCACTTTGTCGGATTCAACTGCATTTCAAACCGACACACCTGCTCAAATACCTCCTCCAAGCCTTTTACATGCTCCTCCACCGTCCGGCTTCTTACAACCATATCATCTACGTATACCTCCATTCACCTCCCGATCTGTTGCTGGAACACCTTGTCCATAAGTCGCTGGTACGTGTCCCCCACGTTCTTCAAACCAAATGGCATCACATCGTAACAATAATTAGATCGTTCAGTTATAAATGTTGTCTTCTCACGATCCGGATGACACATGGGAATTTGGTTATATCCCGAATACGCATCCAAAAAACTAAGCACCTGATACCCCGAGGCTCCATCAACCTGACCATCAATGCTGGGGAACGGGTATGCATCCTTTGGGCACGCTTTGTTCAAATCTGTGAAATCGATGCACATTCTCCATTTTTCGTTGGATTTCTTCACCATCACCACATTGGCTAGCCAAGTTGTGTACTTTACCTCATGAATAAAACTTGCCTCCATTAGCTTCCGGACCTCCTCCTCCACCGCTCTTCTTTTTTCTAATCCCAACCTCCTCCTCTTCTGGGCGATCGGTCGTGCATTTGTAAACAAAGATAGCTTGTGAGAAATTACACTAGGATGAATCCTCGGCATGTCAGTTGTCGTCCATGCGAATAGATCCTTATTCGCCCTTAAAACCCGGCCAACCTCTTGACTCTGTTCCTCAGTAAGACTTCTACCAATGGTAGTACTCTGGTCCCCCGCTGTCCCCAGAATGAAAGGTTGTACCTCCCCCAACGGTTCCATCCGATCTTCTATATTCACCCTCGGGTCCAGCTCTGCCATAGCCACTTCCGACCTTTCTACCTTCTTAGTTGAAATCCAGGGTTTAACTTTTAACCCTGCCACATAGCATTCTCAAGCCACACTTTGATCCGCCCTAACAACCCAAACTTTCCCATCGTCAGATGGATACTTCAACGTCAAATGTGGAGTAGACACAATGGCCCCGAAGGCATTCAAACACGGTCGGCCCAGCAAAACATTATATGATGTGTTAGCTTCCACCAGCAAGAACCGAACTCTCAACTCCTTGGCGTTATTCTTCGTCCCTAATCACATTCTCAGATCAACATAACCTCTCGTATCTACTCTTTCCCCTGCAAATCCTAAGATTTGTTCATGGAATGACATGATCATGTCCTCCGAAATGTCCATCTGCTAAAAATTTTTCCAGTACAATATGTTGGCCGAACTTCCTTGGTCAACCAAAACTTTACCCACACTATACAGAGCAATCACCGCCGTTATGCCCATCAGGTCGTCTTGATTAGGGTCAGGAGCGTGAAAATCCTCGTCCGAAAAGGGTATCCTTGGCATTGAACTTTTTGTCACCTCCACACGGTGAACACTATGCAGGCTTCTCAAGTGCCGTTTTCGCACCGATGCCGAAGGTCCCCCACCAGCAAATCCTCTCGAAATAGTGTTGATTACGCCCCGTAAGGGTCGTTCTCTACTCCTACTTCGGCTTCTCCAATTCTTCTTTGACCGATCATCCTTCCTAGGATGATTACTCCTCTTAGATGGACGTCCAGCTCCTCCCGAGGAGCTTCGTCCCTTATCTTGTACATATCTTCTCAAATGCCCTGCCTGTACTAAACTTTCCAATTTATCTTTCAGTGTGATACAGTCTTCCGTGGTGTGTCCCAAGTTCTGATGATATTAACAATGCTTTCGCCCATCAGTCCCCCTAGGTGTGGGGGATTGTGCCAAGGTTAGCATATCAGCCCTTAACGCTTTTTCCATTACCCTCGCCCTTGGTGCATTCAAAGGCGTATAATGAACATATTGAGGCACCCTAGGAAGGTCTTTGTGCCTTTGCTAGCTTGCTCCCTCATTTCTCCCCAACATCTGTCCTCCATCCTTCCTCCCTCGGTTTGATCTGGCCTGCGGAATCACCTCTTCTCTTTGTGCTTGTTGGAAAGCATGTTCCTCCTCAATTCGAATAAACCTTGTTGCCCTATTCTGCAGCTCGACCAATGTCTGGGGTTCCTCTGCATAAAGGAAGTCCACGAAAGGTCTCGATCTTAGCGTCGTTATCAAGGCACCTATGATTAACTTCTGATCCACATTTCTTATTTGACGCGCGATTTGTTTAAAGCGATCCATAAATGCCTTAAGCATTTCTTCTCTCCCTTGCCTCATCCTGACTAAAGCAAGGTACGTTAATCCTTGCGTTCTGTTGGATGCATATTGTTGACTGAATAATTATCTTAGCGTTGCGAACCTGTCGACCGTCTCAGGTTGCAATGAATGAAACCAATCCAACGCCTCATCCTTCAGAGACAACGAGAATACTCTGCACCAAACCGAATCATCTGAAGAATAAATCGCCATAGCATCAACAAAAGACCTAAGATGCTTTTTAGGATCAGTTATCCCTCCATACTTTTCCATTATTGGGAGCACTTTATTTTCAGGCATGGGCGCCCTTATCACTACTGCGGTAAAAGGATGAAGCCCCTTGGCTTTATCAGGACGTTCTACGAGCGCTAAGTAGTCTTCATGGACCGGGTTATTCATGGGTATTGGATTCTCCACATTATATCCCGGCCGGTTTCCCACATTTTGCCCCTCGTGATTCTCCATGTTGTGCCCTGACTGATTCCTCGCGTTCTGCCCCGCTTGATTCTCCACGTTTCGCCCTCCACCCTGCGTATTACGTCTTGAGGCATTAGTTACCTCTCGCGTCCATTTTCACGTGTGGGACAATTACTCTCCCCTCCATTCTCTGGATTGACGACCTCATTATTCACCGACTGCACCGACTGTCCCGTTGCCCCGGTCCGCCCTTATTTCTGCCATCTCCGCCCTCAACTCCTGCATCTTCCTTTGCATTTCTTGTAGCACCTGTAACTGAAGCTCCTCTGCCATTGCGGTCTCACTTGGGTTTCCTTGATACACTCTTGGCCCCACGGTGGGCGCCAAATGTTTCTGTAAGTAGGTATGAGACTGCGCTTCCTTCTTTCCGCTGCGATGACACCGCGATCTCCTTCAAGATATCAACTCCACTACACCGATCCGTCGTCTCCTGCAGGAAAACACTCCGACGCTCAAGTCAGTTTTTTAATTCGAAAAGTCTCAACGCTGTAATTATTTAGATAAAAAAAGTACCTTTACCTGGACACCCATCATATATTTATAAACTAGATTCCTAACGACAACCGTTACCTGCTAATTAATGCCATATTCATTTCTTATATTTTATTTCCTATTGTTCGTTCTGTGACCATTAACGCCTCATGTTTCGTTTTTCACTGCATTGATTTACCTTTAATGCTCTTTATTCGTCTATTATTTGCCTCCACCCACTCTCAGTTTTAATCGATCAGCCACCTCCTTATCTAACCGATCGGCCAACCTTCCTTACCCGACTAGGCCTCTTTCTGTGCTCATCGGGTTCACTACAAAAATAATCTCATTTTCTAATCTCTTTCCTTTTTTATTCCAATCCCACGTTTTCACATTTGAAACAACCAAAATCATGAAAGTAACGTAGAAGGACTAATCAGGTGGTTAAAAAGAGTGGCCCAAGATCTAAATTAATCTGGAGTTATTAATTTTTGAAATTTCTTTTTCCGTGAAGGGGACCAGAAGTAGGCATACGTAAGCAAAAACATACAATAGCATATGCAGTGTGCAGATGGAATCCTTCAGTAGCAGCCATCTCGATGTGGAAATTTCCTTTGCTATTTATTCTCTCTTAATTTTTCAGCTGCGATTGGAGACGACGTTACGGAAGTTGTTGGGAACAGGTGGGATATTGTCATCACGTGATTGCCACGAAACAATAAAGGGATTTTATATATTTGGTTAATTTGATTTTGTGGAATAAAAGGCCACAACTTTTATACGCACTTCTGGAATCATTGTCATATCAGGACATTTCTTCTAAAATAATGCTTTCTACACCCATCATCGTATCTTTACTCCCTCTCATTTTGACTCACTCATCTTTATTTTTTTCTTACCTCTACGTTTCAATCCTTACCACTCATAAGCCACGTTTCTGTCAAATCTAATATAATGTTCTATTGAAAGGAAAAAAGAAACTTTTGAATATCCTAGGATACTCCATTTTACTAGGAAATCCTTCTTTACATTTTTGAAAAGAAAAAGCTCACTCGACTGTTACCTTGCTTTGTTAGGTGCAAGATAACATTGCTATGTGGGATCCATTACAAGGTACAATGTTATTTTTATTCGCTAATTTTCCTTTTCATAACCGCAATAATTAAAATTACAAAACCACTTTACAGTGTCTCAAATAAAGCCTAAGATACATTCAAATCTTCCGTTCTCTTTAGTCTTTAAGCCCCCAGACATGGCAAAGGAAACTTCAAAATTCAAATTCCTTGCTTTATTTTTGTTAGATTTTCTTTTCCACACACATAAAAAAAAAGAAGTAAAATAATGAATGGCAATATAAAATTGAAAAAAAAAGCAACATATGAAAAATCACCTGTCAGAGGGTGTGCCCCGTGGATTAGGCAGCAGCAAAATCTAGTTAATCGCAAAAGTCCAAATCAAAGGTTTGGAATTGGTAGCTCCAAGCACAATTCTTCTGTTAGAAGTGATGGCGAAAGGTTGAGTTCATGACTCCTTCCTGCATCTTGCGTGCAACTTCCACATGATTCTATTTCAGTACACCCACTTTACAAACAAACCCTTTAACCACTTCTACGCTCTTTCCATTCATTAACTACATGTTTTCTAACCAACACTTCTCACTTCCAAACTCACCCGCAAACACAACTACATCCTTTCTTTCTATCTCATTACATAACACACTGCAAATATTCATAATCAAAAACTAAAACATATAAATCAACTTCAATATCCAATCTCTTAATCCATAACTCCAAATCAATATCGATAATAACATAATTTAATGTCTATCCGCTAACATTAACAGCTACCTACCGCACCCAACCAAATGTAAAATAAAATTATAAGAAAAATTATAGACACTAACTCGGGCCCACGGAACCGGCTCCATTGGTTTAACCTCTTCCTGTCTAGCCTAATAAAAAATACAAAAATAATAATAATCAAAAACCGGGAACCGACGCTGGCGAACCGGTGTCCGGTCCAGGCCCCGCTTCCTTTTTCTGCCGCATCTCCAAAACCTTCCGGTGGTGGTTCGAGTGCAACTCGCTCGAGAAAGTAGGGCTACACGCGGGTCTATATTCGGGCAATAACCGACCCGACTTGTACCGAACTCCACAGGCATTGCACAAGGTCTTCGCCCCGAGCGGTCCTGTTCGCCATTGAGGTGTTTTCTGAACGCCGCAATGGCTGCACCGTCTCGCCGCTCCCCCGTCCGACGCCGCCCGTTTCTTCGCCCTCTTGTCCTCCGGGTGGTGGTCTTTGGACGTGGCTGCGCAAATTACCAAAGGGCTGTCGGGAGACGACGTGTCGGTGAAAGACGAGGGTGACCTCAGCGGCCAAACCCGAACCCCGGTTCTGGTTCGCTTGCTCCTTGGCTTGGCCGGAACGAGGGTTTTGAAAGTAAAACCGGCGTTTCCCGGTTCCTGCGGTTTCTCAGCGAGGCTCTGCGTGACGGTTGCGGGGAAGGAAAGAGAGTATTTGGTGAAAGAGTCTTCGATGAAATGAGATACCCATTCCAAGTCCGCAACTTCCTCCGCCTGTAAAAATTAAGACTTTGGTGAAAACAGAAACGAAAAAGTTTTTAACGCGAAATGGGAAGAGAAGTACCGGAAGAGTGAGTTCGGTATTGAAATTGTCGTTGAAGGAGTGGTTGCAATTGTACATATGGTGGTTGTCGTTGCGAGGGGAAACGGAGGTTGAGTGGTGGCTGTGTTTGTGTTGGTCAGGTTCTTCGTTTTCGAGGAGCGAAAAGTCGAGAAGGTCGTCGACGAATAAGTCGTCGGAAGAGGTGACGTTTTGCATGTTAAGGTCCTCCGGGAACGCTTGGGGGCTGAGTTTGAGGGCCATGTCTTTTCTGAAACTGCTCTTCAACACTGCTTCCAAACACTCCATTGCAACCTTAAACACAAATGTTTCATTAATTTTTACAAAAAAATTGAAAATTGAAAACAGGATTATGGAGTTGCAGTTGTTACCTGAGAGAGAAGAGAGGGATGAAATTGAAAGAGAATGAGCGGAGGATGGTGCGTTGGTTAAAGCATCATTGAATGAGGGCTGAAATGTGCCTCTTTCTTTAAATAATAAATAAATGAATAATTTTACTTTTTCCTCTTTCTCACCAATCTTCTCCTCCCAACTCTCCACTCTCTCCATCACTATTATACAACTTTGTTTTATACATTAAGAATAATAAATACTAAAATATCAACGGTAGATGCTCTTTATTAATATACATACTTTATACATAGGATTAAACATATATAATCTTTTAATTTATTTTTTATTAAATGTTTACTATATCATATATCATAATTATCAGATTAAAGGCTTTTAAAAATAAAATGAAATAGTTTATAAGTTACTCGATTTTAAAACAATATCACCATATGTGTACTGAAAAGTTAAATATATTAAAATATTATATCTAATAATATGATTGTTAAAAAAAATGAGACGTTACATTTTTCATATCTTTTTAGTATGATTTTGTAAGAACATTGGCCTTTTAACATGTTACAAATTTGGGAAAAAAATCCAAATTTATGGTTGTTGTTGTTACGATTTTAAATTTCAAATGTTAACTTGATTAATGTTTATAAGTGTTTATTATACTTGTTTTTTTAAATAAAAAAACCACCGTTATGTATTTCATTATTATTATTATTTAATTTTTGTTGCTTTTTTTTTAAATTGAAATTTTTAAATCTATAATTTTTATTCAAATTAAAACTTCACACATCATAATACAACATTATACATAAATTGAAGATAAAAATAGTATTTAATATATGAACATGATTTACAATCTATTATCTGAAATAAACAAAATTGAACTGATATTGAAATTTTAAAACTCAATGTTGGAAGAAAAAAATCTTAGCTATTTTAATATCTTATTTTTCAAAAATGTTAAATAATATTTAATTTAATTATAGAAATAATAGTATTTAAAATTTAGAAGATAAATGTAAATTAATAAATCAAAACATGGAATTGAAATTTAACTTTCAAATATTGAAATCATAACAATTATATTATTAATATTAATAGTAATAAAAAGACTAATCATAATTATTACTGACTCAATTAAAACATGTAAATTTCGTTATTTGTATATTTTTGACAATCAAAACAGTTAAGTAAATGAAAAATAATAGCGTCTTGAGTATAAAAAAATAAATAATAATGACTATATTTTTAACTAATATAATTATGCAATAAATTTTTTAGGCCTTTGAATGTAAAATTAGAATGCGTTTTGATTCAAACTTTTAAAATTTTGAACTTTAATTTTAAAAAAATAAATTAATATAGTATTTTAAACTTAATTATATTAATTTTATTAAACTTGTTAAAAGATATTGTTAAAAGATATATCAAATTCACATTTAAGTTAAAGCTTATAAAAAATGTATAAAGTTCAAATCAACCAAAAACAAAATCACATCACACCATGGATATATTGATACTCCTACATACTAATGTCTTATAGATCAACATATTAATTTTACTAAAGATGTTGTTGAACCTACGGATGAAGAAATTAAAATTAAAGATGCTTATACTAACATGTTTACTGATGGATATGAAATTAGTATATATATGATCATTTTCAATAGCAACGTTATGAGGATAGTACATTATAGGAACCAAGTGCAATAGAAGAACTAAGGGAATGAGAACATTCATATGAAACATCTACTATTGCAACTGATTTTGGTTAATGACAAAACGATAAAGTCAACTACTTTATGTACATATTTTTGCTTACAAAATAATATTTTGAGGATTATTCATGATTCTATTAATCATCCTAATACACTTGATAATGATCAAACTGAAATTATTATAATTAAGCATTATTTATTTGATAACTTCAATAAGAGGTGATCATACTTAGGGGTGGGCAAATAGAACTGAACTGTATTGTACTACTAAAATCTGTATTGAACTAAAAATTAATTTGTATAAACTGAACTGAACTAGTTCAGACAAACTGAACTGAACTGTTGTTTTATCAAACTGGACTGAACTGAACTATATTAAATTGTACTAAACTACAATATAAACTAAACTGAACTACTAATTATACTAATTTTAAACTGAATTGTACTAGTTTTTAAACTGAATTGTACTAGTTTTTAAACTGAATAGTATATCAGTACATGTTCTTTTTAATTAAAATTTAGGTTTAATACCCTCTTTGGTCCCCAGATATGGTGAGTTGTGTCAATTAAGTTCTTTCTTTTAAAAAAGTGTCAATTGTATCCCCATTTGGTAAAATTTGCCTCAATCAAGTCCCTTCCGTTAAATACTTACAAACGGTGTTAAATTTTTTTTCTCTCTCTTCTACTTTTCTGTGCAAAGCTGATTATCAGTACTTTTTTCTGTGCACATCTGAATAAAGTGATACAATTACTTTTTCTTTATCATTTAGCATCTGAATATTCTCATTAGTAAAAAAGTTACTTTTTCTTCATCATTTACACTTTTAAGATTGTAATTTTAATTCTATTAATTATTAATATAACTAAACAGATTCAATTTTTAATAATTTTACATGCATAAACTTATTAAATAAAAAATTAACACGTTAATATATAATTAAAATAACTACAGAGAATTATAAATTTATTTAAAAAACATACAGAGGAGAGAACTCTCAAAAATAATTATATTATCATTAACTTTTTACTTAATAAACATATATAAAAATTATTATAAATTAAACTTATCATTAATTTTCAATAAATGTCTTTCCATTGACCTCTGCAAATCTTCGCTCTTCATTTCATCATTTTCTGTTTCTTCTCTCGTTCTCTCCCTCTTCAACTACTGCTACTTCTCACTACAATATTGCAACATATCTAATGGAGCAATCCTTCCACTTTCTCTTTCTCTTTTGCCACACTCTACTCTTTCACTAGTAACTTCTCATGTACCTGTCTTTGTTGGAACCAAGCAACCTGCCACCACCACTCTGTTTCATATTTCTAAAATGGGTTGTTGTGGGACATATCTTATTCTTAATCCTCAAGCAAACATCGCGAGCCACCACTAACAGGTTGCCGAGC